CAGTCTCAGCACTGTGAAGCTATCCACAGCCACTGCAGCAGGAGTTCTATCCCCAGCCAGGGAGCTACCCACATGGTGGAGCAGATCTCTCCTATCTTACCCGCTGCTCCCCTCAGCCGTGTATTTCAGTAGATCTGCCTGGTCTGCTCCCCACTCTGTCTCTGGTGAATCCTCTCAATCCCTGCACCTCTGGCCCTGTACCCCATCTCTTGTATGCATAAATAAATAAATCTTTAAAAAACAAAACAAAACATGAACCTCGCCAGTCTGGGGTGGTTGCTCACCAGTGCACAAGTGTCCCTGTGGCCTTTTACTCATGTACTCGTGTATGTTGTGGCTAATTAGTAAAAGGACATTTGGAGCACTGCGTGTCCCCATCCCAGGCACAGTTTTGACTTGTCCCTCAAGTCAGTTACCTGATTATGGTCCCACTTGGCTTCATTTCCCCCACCTGCCTCTACAAAGTAAATGAACAAGTTACTTAACCTCTCAGAGCCTCAGTTTCCTTATCTGTGAAATAGGATGCCCAATTTACTACCCTGTTGCGTCAGGACAACACCACACTGACAAACAGGGGTCGTGGAGCAGGCTGCACAATGCAGGATGCTGCTGAAGAGCAAAATCCTGGCCCTTTTATTCACACACATAATTGGTTGTAAGGAGATTAAGGAGATTAAAGAAAGGGAAAGGGTGTAGAACATTAGGGATTGTGAGTCTGTCCTCCAGGCACTTCTAATCTACTTGATGATACACCCTAATCCCCTGCCATGGTTCTAATGTTATCAACCAGGCGCTCCACTGATCAGCTTCTGGGGTCCCTTGTCATACTTCAGTCCTCGGCCCCCGGGCATTCCCGGTCATACCTCATGATGTATAAGTCAGGAGTATGTGTTATGCATCGTTCCTCAGCCCCAGGGGCATTCTGGACATACCTCCTGAGGCACATGTTATGCATCTGTCCTCAGCGCCCCCACCCCCCCAGGCGTTCTGGACATACCTTGTGATGCATAACCTTCCCAGGGTGATCCAGCTTTCTGCTCTTGTTTGATTTGAAGGGCTTAAGGGTTGGGCTCCAGTTCCTAACTGGCCGGACCACTTTGACCTTGTTTAGGTGACAAAATGGTGGCCAAATAGGCTGCCTAGGAGTAGCAGACCCACACGACCCCACCCCCTCACCCTTTGCTGTGAGGACTAAGTATGTGGAAATTCAGAAAGGAAACTTTTCTGAAACATGGTGACCTGGGATAAGCCATCTGGGGACCTTAGGAACAAACTTTTGCTCAGCTCCTGGTATGCAACTTAGTCCCTGATACGAATCTTAGAACATCTGCCCCCATGAGGGGCAGGATGGACCTGGGGTTACCATGACTGCTGACCCTTTACTCACCCTTGGTATGCAACTATATGACTCACCTCTCAGTATGCAGCCATGTCCTACTGACCATGTACAGCTGCCAGTGCAACCCCACCCGCAACCTTGTAGAAACTGAAGGTGTATAGAAGCCCTTGACTTCTACAGACTGAATCAGCACCGGTGCATTAAACCTGCTTCTTCTTAGCCCTGGTGTCCACGTGTCCTTTGTGCCATGTCACATTAGCTGAGTTGATGTCTCACACTTGACATTTGCCTGCACTTGTTGACATGCGTTCAAGTACATGAAGCGTTTGGGAGCAAACCTGACCCATATTCAGTTTAGCTGCTGTGGCTCAGTGTCCAGAGAAGATGGCACCTCCCGGCCACAGGCCTCTAGACCCTGCTGTTGCTGCATCCCCACTGCCCTCTGACAAGTATTAGCCATATGCAAATTCTCTAGACTTTTATTTATTTTTAAATATTTTAAGCTTTTATTTATTTTATGTGTACAAGAACTGGGGTACAGACCAGAGATGCGGGGGGTGAGAGGATTCACCAGAGACAGAGTGGGGAACAGAACAGGCAGACTGAAACACACTGCTGAGGGGAGCAGCGGGGGAGACAGGAGAGGTCTGCTGCGCCATGTGGGTAGCTCCCTGACCTGAATCAATCTCAGTTCATGGAGGTGATAGCACTGAGACTAACCCCTTGGCACCAGGGTGGCCCTATTTTAAAATATTTACTCCAGACCATTCTGATCTAACCAGATAAATGGGAAGGAATGAAGACAGTAATATGGTAATAATATACTTGACTGTGGGTCTGGCTTTTGGAGACTCCTGGCTTGGCTCAGTCGCCTGGATCCAGACGCCTAGAGGATAAGGGAGGGAGGGGGGGAAACCCAGTGGCCTCAGACAAGCCAAGGAATGATAAACTGGGAAACTTATCCAAACTGAGGCTGAGTGTCAGTCTCCAGAGCAGAACTGATGAGGCTCAGGGGAGATGAGGGGCCTCCAAGTTTCCCCTAGGCGGGGCAGAATTCATGCAGAGTCAGTATAGGGGAGTTAGAACTGAAGCTTTCTCGTAGGTGGTGGGACACACTCAAGAGTGAGTGTGGGCACATTCAGAGGCGGGCACCTGAGGGCTTAAGGCTGCTGATAGAAGAAATAGTCGTTTAGCTTTGGGGGCAGGGGCTCCTGATGGGATCCTGACTGGGTCTTGACCACTTTTTTTTTTTTTTTTTAAAAAAAGATTTATTTATTTAGAACTGGGGTATAATCCGGAGGTGCGGGGAGGTGAGAGAATTCACCAAAGACAGTGGGGAGCAGAATAGGCCGATCTACTGAAACACACTGCTGAGGGGAGCGGCAGGTGAGACAGGAGAGGTCTCCTGCGCCATGTGGGTAGCTCCCTGTCCAGCCAGGGATTGAACTTGTGCTGTAGTGGCTAGAGATAGCCTGATAGTTCTGTGTTTAACACCTGCACCACCAGGGAGGCCGCTTTTGCTTAACAAAAGGGGCAGGAATTTACAGATGAGAGAATGGGATTTGGCCATTTTGTTAGTGAAAGAAGGTGCCAACTGCTGGCACCTGGTGGGAAGAAACTAAGGGGCTGTGACAGGGCCTAATGACTCCACAGCTGTTTTCCAGAAATGCTGGATGGGGGAGGAGGGGCTGCAGCCTTGGTGCTCAATTCCTGTTTGACCTCAGACCTGGCAGGGGCGGGCTTCCCCCAGACACAAACAGCTAAGCCCCTCACCCCATACCCCAACCCCCAGCCCCAGGGAGCAAGTGGGCCAAGGAGGCAGAGGAGAGGGCTGAAGAGAAGAGGGGAGCAGAACAGGCAGATCTACTGAAACACACTGCTGAGGGGAGCAGCGGGCGAGACAGGAGAGGTCTGCTGCACCATGTGGGTAGCTCCCTGGCCAGGGCTCAAACTCGTGCTGCAGTGGCTGTGGACAGCTCCATAGTGCTCGACCTAACCCCTTGCACCACCAGGGAGGCCCCTTATTTTGGATTTTTTTGAACATTCAGGTTATACTGGGTTGGGGCCCCCTGACTTTAACCAACTATTCCTCATTCAGTTTGATAAATGGGCTTTGGGGCCCCCTGGCCCTAACTGCCTGCCTGTGCGGCAGGAGGGCACAGAGCAGGATCTCTATCATCCAAGCAGACGGGGTAAGAAGTCCTGGCGCCCTCGGTGCCTTTTGCAGGCTTTTATTGGGATTTGCCAGGTACACAGCAGGCAGGGGTGCTGGGGGGCCGGGAGGCTGGCAGGCCTCCAGCAAGTCTTCACTATCTGGACTCTCCGGCCTTCTCTCGTGACGATTTCTTCTCTTCTGCTCCTTTTGCCCTTTCATTCTCTTCTGCTCTCTGCTCTGGTGGCGTCCCCGTGACGCCGCCCTTAAAAGCCCAGTCTTAGCCCAGGTGAATCCCATCTACATGTGCCCACACCCTTCTCCAGGTGGCCGCCCTCAGGTGTGCATTCAAGACCATCAATCCTAATGGTGGGAAGGCAGAAAAGCCTGATACTTTTTCACTTACCCTGCACTGTACCCACCTGCCAGCTGCCTCACTCGTGTGCACATTGAAGACTTGTAAGATTGAATTAAAAGTGGGGGGATCCTAATGCGAAATTGCTTGGAGTAAGACCAAGTCGACTACAAACTCGTGGAACTGTTTGGAGTCTGCGGGGACTGTAGTTTGGGCCATCTGGGGTCGGTGTGGGCTCTCCCTGGACTCTCCCCTGGCGAGTCTGGGTCCGAAGAGCTCACTGTAAAGTTTAGGTGCGCCTCTCTTGTGCTGGGGTGCAGAGAAGTGGCCCAAGCTAGCAGCTCTTGTCCAAAGCTCTGCAATTCCACTTCTCTGGGAGAGGTCCAAAGGTCTGGGGAATTTCCTTTTTCAAATGTACAGTGGGAGAGAGATGATTCCCTCATCCTGATTGTGAATCATCAGTGGCCTGGCCAGCCAGAGCTGATAAGGGACAGAGGGCCGAGTGACCGCGGGACACCAGGCCCCACAGGATCTGATTAAGACCCTGCAGACCAGTGACCTCATCCTGTCCTGCCCAGAGGCCAGGGTTTTAAGAGCCCCCCTCCCAGCCTTTGGAGTCCCCCTGATTCTCCCTCACTCACTTCCTGGTGAACTCTTGATTCTCGCCCTGGGTGGCTAATGGCCTCAACGTTGCCTTTTCCTTTTAGCTGTTGGTCTTATTTTTAACTGCATGTTGGTGTTTCAAGTGAAACCGAAAGTGAATTGTTCCCACTCTCCCCTCCTGCTCACATCCTGCAGGAGAGGAAAAGAGGCCTTTTCTTTGCCTTTTTTGGTCAGGGATTAGAAAGTTGGAATGCTGCCTCTAATCTTATGTAACCCAGTGTATTTGGCTGGTCTCTGTAGGGCCAGCTTCACCAGCCTGAGACCCCACAGCCAGAGGATCCCATGCAAATACCAGCAGGGACCCCACTTGTGTTTTACACCCGGCTCTATAAAGAATGACCCAGGCCCAGGCTCTATAAAGAATGGCCCTGGCCCAGGTGCTGGGGCCCAGGTGCTAGTAAGGCTGCTGCCTTCAAGGGGTTTCAAGTGTTATGCAGAACAGAGGTGTGAATGACTCATTTTATTTTACCATAAATATTTATTTATGCATACAAGAACTGGGGGTACAGGCCAGAGGTGTGGGGGTATGTGTGAGAGGATTTACCAGAGACTGAGTGGGGACAGAACAGGCAGATTTGCTGAAATACCCTGTTGAGAGTAACAGTGAGTGAGTCAGGAGAGGTCTGCAGTGCCATGTGGGTAGCTCCCTCACCAGGTATCCCACTGGTGCTGCAGTGGCTGCAGATAGCATCATAGATTGTATCTTAACACCTTGCACCACCAGGGAGGCCCTCATTTTTTTTTTAAAGATTTATTTATTTATACATATAGGAAATGGGGCATGGGCCAGAGGTGCTGGGGTGAGAGGATTCACCAGAGACAGAGTAGGGAGCAGAACAGAAGGATCTACTGAAATACACTGCTGAGGGGATCAGCAGATGAGATAGGAGAGGTCTGCTGTGCCATGTGGGTAGCTCCCTGGCTGGCCGGGTGTAATGTCAGAACTGAACACAGTGCAGGTTTTCTGATCCAGCAGACCGGGTAAAGGAGGAGTCAGAGTCCTCAGTGGTTTTGGCAGGTCTTTTATTAGGATTTACCAGGTACACGGCAGGCAGGGGCGCTGGGGGGCCGGGAGGCTGACAGGCCTCCCAGTCCCCAGCAGGTCTTCACTCTGGGCTCTCCAGCCTTCTCTCAGCTTCTGCTGCTCTCGACTTCTGTTTCTCTGCTTCTTTCTCGGCTTCTGCTGGCGTCCCCATGACGCCGCTCTTAAAAAGCACAGTCTCAGCCCAGGTGAATCCCATCTACCTATGCCCACACCCTATTCCAGGTGCCCGCCATCAGGCATGCATTCAGGACCGCAAGGATCCATCATCTATCCTGATGGCGGGAGGGCAGAAAAGCCTGACATTTTTCCTTATCCTACACCGGGGATCAAATTCGTGCTGCAGAGGCTGTGGATATCTTCATAGTGCTGTGCTTAACCCCTTGCGCCACCACAAGACCCCCTGAATGGCTCATTTTAATTCCTACATAAAATGCTCTGCTTTGTAAAAGTAAGCACATGGGTTGTATTTAATTTACAAGAATTCATGAAGGCTAGTCAGCCAGCAAAGTGGGGTGGCATCCTGGGGAGGAGTGAGAATAAGGGGCGTCTTGGTAGAAAGTGCAAAGAAACAGAGGTAGACAGAGCTTGCATACTCTGGGAACTCCAAACAGGTCACGTAGGGGTGAAGACTGTTCTGGAAAAATGGCAAAGGATGGACAGGAGGGTGATTTTATGTACAGGCTGTTGCAACAAATAAGTAACCTGGGGCGTGGGGCTTAAACAGAAAAGTGCTGTCAGTCTCGCAGTCCTGGAGTCCGAGTCAAGGTGTTGGCAGGAAGGGTTTCTCCTGATACCTTGTTCCTTGGCATGCAGGTGGCCACCTTCTTCCTGTGTCCTCAACTGGTTTTCTCTGTGCACATGTCTCTTCTTATAAGGACGCCTTTCCTACCTAGACCATGAAGGTTGTCGTGAAATTACCATAGTTCAGGCGTCCGTATTAAAGACCAGGAGACGAAGGATCATGACCCGCTGTGTCCCCAGTGCTTTATGCTGGGTTTGGCATGTATTGGTGATTGGTATCAAAAAAGAGGAAAAAAAAATTACATTAGAAAAAAATTTTCTCTAAAACCTAAGCACTGGGAAAAGTGTAAATAGAAAATAGCAGCATTTACTATTTAGTTTTTTTAAATATATATTCATGCATTCAAGAGCTGGGGTTTAGGCCAGAAGTGTGGGGGGGGGGTGGCAGGGGTAAGAGGATTCACCAGAGGTAGAGTGGGGAGCAGCAGGCAGATTGAAATACACTGCCCACGCAAGGAGAGGGCCTGTCTCACCTGCTGCTCCCCTCAGCATGTATTTCAGTCAACCACCTGTCCTGTTCCCCGCTCTGTCTCTGGTGGATCCTCTCACCCCACCCCCCACACGTCTGGCCTGTACCCCAGCGGGGGGTCACAGAGGTGCAACCCTATGGAGAGCAAAACCGGCCACAGAAGAGAATGCTGTTGGCTTTGTTGTGCCTGATGAAGAAAAGAAAGGGGTGGTCGGCGCAGAACCGCGGCTCATCCTCCATGCAGCATTCCACCACCACCATGGCTGAGGCAGCTGCGGCCTCCGTGCCTTCCTCGTTCACCTCCACAAAACTCTTGTGCACAAACTTGGACAGACACAGGTCTGTCTCGGTTGATATCGCCGAAAAGTCGGCCTGGCTCTGCTGAAAGGCGTCCACTACTCCCAGATGCTGAAGCACAGATTCCATGTCGTAATCCTCTTCCAGTTTAAATTTTGGAAGGAAAACTTCAATGTCGGTACGCGTCATACGGTGTGGCTTGGTCCAGGTCATGAATTTCTCAAAAGTGAGATTTTTTTCCACCTGAAAGGTCAGAATCAGTGAGGTCACACAGGCATCCCTCCTCCTCTCGTGGGTGGCTGCTGACGGTCACCCAGGACCAGGGGCACCTGACACGCCAGGAATCTCTGAGCTCCCTACTTGTGCCATTACCTACAGGGGCTTTGTGCCCAGCTGGGGCAACCTCCAGCAACCTGACACACAGAGGTAGTCCAGTGTCCTGTCCTCTCCTTACCCAACCGCTTCTACGACATTTCTCATTTTAACACTTGCCAACGCCCAAAAGACTGGATTCTTTCTCTTTACTGCGCTGTTTTGAAGACCGGACACTGGCAGCAGGAAGAATGGCTGTAAAAGGGCTCTCAGGATAGCCCAACCCCGAAGGGCTTTCTGCCCAGATGGGCCACTGTGTGCCTTGTGGAGAGCAACCTCAGATACAGCAGAGGTGGGAGCTGTCCCCCAACGTAGAATCTATTCTGCCCTGGGTGACTTCTGGCTCCGCCTTCTAGTGCTGGCTCCTCCCCTTCCCTTTGTTGTGTCAGAGTTTCATTTTCTTGTTCACTGCTTCAGGTTCTAAATAGAAACAATGGTTCTTTGATACTCAATAATATTACATGTATTTATAAGTACTGTATATATTTCTTTAAATATATACATCTTAAAAATTTTTTAGGGGCCTCCCCGGTGGCGCAGCGGTTGAGCGCTGGGTTGCGAAACTGCCCGCAGCCTCTGCAGCGCCGGTTCGATTCCCGGCTGCTCCCCAGCCACCGGAGGAGGGTCCCACATGGTGCGCAGACCTCTCCTGCCGCCCGCTGCTCCCCTCAGCAGTGTACTTCGGTCCTTCTGCCTGCTCTGCTCCCTGCTCTGGCTCTGGTGAATTCTCTCACCCTCCCGCGCTTCTGACTGTACCCAGTGCATGTATAAACGAAACAAACGAACAAATAAATAAATAAATAAAAACATGCCTCTATAAAAAAAAAAAAAAAAAAAAATTTTTTAAAAAGTTTTATTTATTTTGCATGGAAGAACTGGGATATAGGCCAGAGGTATAGTGGAGTGAAAGGATTCACCAGAGACAGAGTGGGGAGCAGAAGGGGTGGATCTACTGAAATACACTGCTAAGGGGAGCAGCAGATGAGATAGGGAAGGTCTGCTGAGTCATATATGGGTTAACTCCCAGGCCAGGGATTGAACTCAGGCAGTTGTGGTGATAGCCCTGAGACTTAACCCCCTGGCCACCAGGGAGACCCTAAATATATACATTTTTAAAAATTATGGAATATACACTCGATGGAATATTATACAGCTGTGATAAAAGATGAACTAGAGCTATTTGGAACAAAATGGCTGGACCTCACCATAAGGTGATTATGTTAAGTGAAATAAGTCAAAAAGTGAAATTGGTTGGTTTCACTCATTGGTGGTATATAAATAATCAAAAAATATACACAGGCAAGGGTCCTCCCTGGTGGTACAGGGGTTAAGATGCAACCTAGGAAGCTCTTGGCAGCCACTACAGCACGAGTTCGATCCCATGCCTGCCAGGGAGCAACCCACATGGCGCAGCAGACCTCTCCTGTCTCCCCGCTGCTCCCCTCAGCAGTGTATTTCATTTTTTTTTTTTTTTAGAGGCATGTTTTTATTTATTTATTTATTTATTTATTTATTTATTCATTTGTTTGTTTTTTTTTTTTTGTTTATACATGCACTGGGTACAGTCAGAAGCGCGGGAGGGTGAGAGAATTCACCAGAGCCAGAGCGGGGAGCAGAGCAGGCAGAAGGACCGAAGTACACTGCTGAGGGGAGCAGCGGGCGGCAGGAAAGGTCTGCGCGCCATGCGGGACCCTCCTCCGGTGGCTGGGGAGCAGCCGGGGATCGAACCGGCGCTGCAGAGGCTGCTGGCAGCTTCGCAACCCAGCGCTCAACCGCTGCGCCACCGGGGAGGCCCAACAGCAGTGTATTTCAGTCAGTCTGCCTGTTCTGTTCCCCACTCTGTCTGTGATTAATCCTCTCACCCCCACACCTCTGGCCTACACCCAGTTCTTGCATGCATAAATTTAAAAAAAGCATAGTAAAGAGAAAGAATCCAGTCCTCTGGGCAGCAACAATTGTTAGGATGAGAAATGCCACAGACTGTTGGATAAGGACAGGAAGGGACACTGGTCACGAGTCACTGTCTCTGCTGCTTGACTGCCCACATCACTCATGGACAGGTACACACAGGTGGAGGGTGTGCTGTGCCCTCCAAGGGAGTACACAGGGGGGCATCTGCGTTCGTCTCACCGAGTCCAGGTCCATGCCGTCGGGCAGCACAATGAGCAAGCTCAGCTCCCGGTCAGCGTAGGGCAGCTCCAGCACCTGGGCACGCACCTCCACAACGTAGGTGAGGTTAAAGCTGGACTCCTGAAACATCATCTGCACGGGCCTTTGCTCCTTCTGATGGGAAAAACAGATGAGCGTGGAATGCAAGCTAGGCTGCTGAAAGAGGCTCTCATTCCTAAGTGAGCTCCAGTGGGCTCCAGTGGAGAATGTACCAGGCTCTAGCCCACACCTCCCGATTGTCCCCCAGCTGTTCTCCAGCATCAGTACCAGGCATCAGCAAAATAAATGGCTTTTTCCAGAAGAAAAAGCCAGAGTTTCCTCATTTAAAATGCCCTGGTTCGGGCGGGCCTCCTTGGTGGTGCAAGGGGTTGAGCACAGCTCTATGAAGCTATCCGCAGCCTCTGCAGCAGGAGTTCAATCCCAGGCCAGGGAGCTAACCACATGGCGCAGCAGACCTCTCCTGTCTTGTCCACTGGTCCCCTCAGCAGTATACTTCAGTCAATCTGCCTGTTCTGTTCCCTGCTCTGTCTCTGGTGAACCTCTCACCCCCCTCCACTTCTGGCCTGCAACCCCAGCTCTTATATGCATAAATAAAACAAATCTTAAAAAAAAAAATAAAATAAAACACCCTGGTTGCAAGTATAGAAGAATCACACATATCTTCATGCATTTTAACACAATTGTTCCAATTCTTACACTCTCATCCAAGGAAACTTTTTAAAAAAAATACAGAAGAGGTATAGCTCGTCAGAAATTAATTGAAGCATTAAATATTACATTTGCTTTTTAAAAGTTGATACAGCCCCTGTATTAAAACTTTAAATAGTTTTTGGGCCTCCCCGGTGGCACAAGGGTTGAGCGCTGGGTTGCAAATCTGCCCGCAGCCTCTGCAGCGCCAGTTCGATCCCTGACCACCGGCGAGGGCCCCATATGGCATGCAGACCTCTCCTGCCACGCCCGCTGCTCCCCTCAGCAGTGTACTTCGTCAGTCTGCCTGTTCTGCTCTCCGCTCTGGCTCTGGTGAATTCTCTCACCCTCCCGCGCTTCTGACTGTACCCAGTGCTTGTATAAATAAATAAATAAATCTTTAAAAAAAAAAAAAAAAAAACAACTTTAGTTTCTAAAATCAGTGATAGAAAAAGTTCTCCCCCACCCTCCTTTGCAACTAGAAGATTAATTTTTTTAACTTATTTAAAGTATACCTTATCCAAAAAAAGCTTTTTCACCTGTATGTTTCCTAACTGCATTAAATGGGATTTTTTAGGGGTAGGGAGATCTAGCGGACTATTTGAATGCAAAGTTATACCTCAGCGTTGACACTAAGGAGATTGGCAGTTTTAATACAGAAAAACTATAAATCCTAAATGCACAACAGTGAGTTAATTCACAGCAGTTCAAGTCTATACTTATTTTAATTTTAAAAATACCTGATTAAAGACATACTTTTTTGTATCCTCTCCCGCTACTCCACCCAAAACACACACGTATCTCCTGTACACCTGTGTTTGCTTTCTAGCTAAGCAACGTGGGCTTAAAGGAAAATCCTCAGTTTTCAGAACTTGGTAGCTGCCATGAGGTCTGGAAGATTAACAGAGGTTGTAAGAGCAGTCATAAAATGCAAAATATTCTGGATAGCAAATTTTTATTTTTTTTTTTAAGATTTATTTATGCATACAAGAGCTGGGATGTAGGCCAGAGCAGCGGGGGAAGGGGGAGTGGATTCACCAGAGACAGAGCAGGGAACAGAACAGGCAGACTGACTGAAATACACGGCTGAGGGGAGCAGAAGGCAAGACATGAGAGGTCTGCTGCGCCAGGGATCAAACTTGTGCTGCGGACAGCTTCATCATGCTGCATCTTAACCCCTTGTGCCATTAGGGAGGCCCCAAATTTTTATTTTTCCATTCAAGTTTCCAATTACTTTTAAATCTATTGTTTATGCTTTTATAAATAAAGATTTCTCCATTTAATTTCTTTTTTTCATTTAATTAATTAAATTTTCAAGAACTCCCCCTCACCTCATTTATTTTAAAAGGCATTTCCATCGTGTTCTTTTTGTCAAACTCTTGATTCCACCTTCCTTTGAAGTAAATGGCGTTGACAAGAACCAGCTTCGTCTGGGCACTGATGGAGTTACTCTGCAACAGGTCTTGAATTTTACCTTCCAAGAAAACCATAGTACATTCCGTTGATTTTTATAAGAGCATGATAAGGCTTATTGGCTGATTCAAGATTATCAGTCAAGAACCAAACACAGTTTTTAAGTTTGCGGTGTTTGGATTGTTAAGTACGGAAATCAGAAACAACATATACAAGTGCTACCCATGTTTACTGGTAGCTGGAGACTAACCTCAAAGGTGATGTTGGGGAGAGGTTCCTAGTCTACTCAAGGAAAACCATTGCACTGGGTCAGAGAACAAGTCAGGCAGGAAAGAGAGAGACAGAAGAGGCTTGTTATTTCACAGGGTTAAATGGGGCTGTGACCTAATGCTCCAAGGTAACCTCCAGGGCTGATGTTCCAGTCACATGTGCACACGGAGGAGGCATGTTTCCAAAGGAAAAAAGCTGACCATGGAGAACATGGGGCATTGAGGAACATCTGGTAGTTTCTGGAAGAGATTTTATTTGATCCTCTAAACAAAACACCAGATGTTCCTGCAGAAGGCTAGAGGGGCAAAGATATTCCTTTCCTTTGCATGTCAGGTTGCACCTTTTCATCACTGCATCTTGATGGCTAAGTGGTGACCATTCCAAGAAGAAATGGGAAAATAACTACTAAGTCTTTAAGGAAAGGCAATCTTTTTTTTTTTTTTTTTTTCAATCTTTTTTTTTTTTGTTTGGAAATCTAACGTTTATTGTATTTAATGTTGTTCGTCACTTATTTCCTTGAGGTAACATTGTTTTAGAGTTACACACCTCCTGTATGTGATCACACCACCCCCACCACCAAAGCACCCATAGTCCCCCACCCTAGACCACTGGGCCCTGCCAAGGCTGGGTATGGAGAGGAGGCCCATGCAGTGACATCCAGTGAGACCATGAATTTACATAACATGACCACAGGGAAGCAGATGTCAGTAAGTCATTAAGCTGAAAAGCTGGCCTAGGCACTTGCTTTGACATCTATAGCCATCATCCGGGTCCTGGAGGGGGGAGGACAAACTTAAGTCTCTGTTGCTGGAAGCCTGAGCATCTGATCAAAATCTCTAAGAGTCTGTTAAGGTTTATTTATTTATGTTTAAAGATTTATTTATTTTGCTTAGAAGAACTGGCCAGAGTTGTGGGGTGGGGCGAGAGGATTCACCAGAGACAGAGTGGGGAGCAGAACAGACAGATGTACTGAAATACACTGCTGAGGGGAGCAGTAGGCCAGATGGGAGAGGTCTACTGCACCATGTGAGAAGCTCCCTGGCTGGGGATCAAATTTAGTCCTAGCATGAAGGCAATAAGGCTTACTCCCTAGGCCACAGAGAAGCACTCTGATAAGGTTTAAATATGCCTTGAGGTGGGCCTCCCTGATGATGCAAGAGGTTAAGATACAACCTATGAAGTTATCCACAGCTACTGAAGCATGAGTTCGATTCCTGGCCAGGGAGCTACCCACATGGCCCAGCAGACCTCTCTTGTCTCCCCGCAGCTCCCCTCAACAGTGTATTTCAGTCGATCTGCCTGTTCTGCTCCCTGCTCTGTCTCTGGTAAATTCTCTCAACCCCCACCTCTGCACCTCTAGCCTGTACCCCTGTCCTTGTATGCATAAATAATCTCTAAAAATAAATAAATAAATACGCCTTGAGGTCCAGCCTGACTCTCTAGAGCAGCAGGGAACAGGGGAGCGGGACGGGAGGAGGAGGAGCTCAAGGGAGGTGAGAAGGCAGGGGAGGAGAAAGGAGCAGGACAGGAGAGAAGGGAAGGGGAGCAGCAGATGTGAGGACCCGGAGGATGACGGAGGGGGACGTGGCTTTCAGACCTTCAGTCTTTTCTGAGACCCAGTTGTTGATTCTCTCCCGGGACTGCTCGGCAGCTTCGACGAAGGGCAGCTGCTCCAGCTCCGCCAGGTAGAACTGGAGACAGGATTCCCGAAAGGCCTTGGGGCGGGAGGGAGTTCAGTGAGGCTGCATGTCCAGGTAAAATGCCAACAAGGTTCAAAAAATCCTGAATGTCCTGAGTGTACGTCTTATCACACGCTCGCCTCTTAGCCCATGGGCTACTGCCGTGAGGAGTTTAGAAACAGTAAGTACTTAGCCGGGAATTCCCAGAACTGGAGACAGGAATTTTAGAGTCACATGTTAAATCCTTCAAGGCATAGTTAAGAATTACGATTACAAATACCAGTAACGTTCATTCTAAGTGTCAGTGCCCCAGTTTCTCTGGGAATGTATGTTCTGCATGCCTCTTAGGATCCCACTGCTGTGACTTACGGAGAGGAATTCACAAGACTTTTCTCCAAAGAGCCGGTTGGCTGTTCTCAGCAAGTACTGGGTGCCGGGTCTGTTCACTTCAGTGAGAAGCGACTGGAAGCCCCGGTGAATGTCTTTCTCTGTGTTGAAACAAAGCGCCTGTTGAGAAAATAATGTAAGTGGGGAATAATGCTCTTCACGGCAGATTTTTACCTCAAATGTTCCACAGCATCTTCTTTTTCTCATTTTCTTTTTCTAAAGATTTATTTATTTATGTATACAAGAACTGGGGTGCAGACAAGAGGTGCAGGGGTGAGAGGATTCACCAGAGACAGACTGGGGTACTGAACAGGCAAACTGACTGAAACACACTGCTGAGGGGAGCAGCAGGTGAGACAGGAGAGGTCTGCTGTACCAGAGCTCTGTAGCGCCCTGTCCAGGGATTGAACTCAGCCCAAACTCATGCCATAGAGGTGATAGTGCTGAGACTTAACAGGGAGGCCCTGTTCACTGTTCTCACATGTTTACTAGAGGTTTGTAAACTAAGCCCCACAGTACCCATGCAGTCTGTTCAAGTAAATACAAGCTTTTGGGTTCACTTCTGAGTGATTCTGCTTATGCCCTTAACTGAGTGAACAAAATATAAAATTTGATGAGGACCTGCCTCCATCTCTGGTCCAGTAAACAAAAAAGCAAAACCATCTATACAGAACTAAGTGAAAACAGGTTCCACCCTGTATTGGTACCAGGATTCACTGCCTGAAGCTAGAGTCAGTCTTTTCAAGCTCACTGCTCCCCAGGGCTGGAATCCTCACTTTAATTACCTAATAAACTCTGTAACTATCATTGAGATTTTATTTCCAGCTAACAGGAACCAGGAAGACCTGTTGGTTTATCAATAACTTGAAATAGATATGGACCTGCTCTTCCTCACCAATGAATAATTATACTCACAAAGTCATTCATTCCCCAACACGAGGGACTCTAGCTGTTTTGATTTTATATAAGTTCTGTGTCATTTTCTAATAAAGCTCATGCAATAGTGTTAGGGGGAAAGGATGTCCTGAGCAAACTCCATACAGGCTTTGTGGACTCAACCCTCACTCCAGACCACAGCCATCAACACACTGGGAACTACAAATCCCATGATCACCAAAGGGAGGGTTGCGAGGACCTGAAGGTGGAGTTAAGCAGCCATGTTTTTTGTTTGGGTATATAACCAGCCTTGTGGCCCGGGTCGCCCTCTTGACCCCACGGCGCTGGGCTTTTAGCCAGCTCTCAGCAGATCATTCGGATTCCAGGTCAGAGGAAAGAGTAGGACTCATTTAGGAATTTATCTCCCTCTTTTTCTCCCTGAGTTACTCATTTCTTCATTTCCCATTCTCATGTAAATAAACCTTTTATTAACCTTTTCTGTGTGCCTGCAGTCTAGGATTAATAAGTCCCTTTTAAGACCACTGGTGAGGACCCACAGTCATGCAACTGGTTTCATATTGGGGTTGCTCTGTAACACTAGGACCAAATTTTGGTAGTTCTCAGTTAGGTTATACATTGCAGAGACTTCACCCAAAATGCTTCAGTGAAGGAGATTCCTGTTACCCTTGTATCTTGCTCCCCAGGCAGCTCCACTTCCCTGAATGAGCAACTATGGGTGGCTGCACTCACCAGGTACTCCCCCCTTCATTGACAGCCTTAGATCAGATGGCATAAAGCTGAGATACAGGACTTAGTAGCCAAACAGCCAGTCCTTCCTCTTGAGTGACAGGTGAGTTTACCTGGGCCATCTGGGCTGCAGTTTTTCCCTTTGCCCCCAGGAAGACCATGGACAGGGCAGAGGAGATGCTCAAAGGAGAAAAAAACACATTCTGAGAAGGCTGGTCTTGGCACAGTAGCTTTAGAAGGCGGAGGGCAAAGGTGCCATTGGCTTCAGTAAGAGCATCCATGGTGGAGGTTCTGGAACCAACAATAAAGAGAAAGGTCAAATTGTTAGGGGGAAATGATGTCCTGAGTTAATCCCATACAGGCTTTGTGGACCCCACCCCCACTCCAGACTAAAGCCATCAAGACATTGGGAAAGACAAATCCCATCACCACCAAAGGGAGTGTGGCTGGGACCTGAGGGTGGAGTTGGGCAGCCAGGTTGGATATAAAAACCAAACACGTGGGCCTTAGGGTCTCTGGCTGGCGATCGCTCCCCTCCTGGCTTCACTGCTCCTGGCTGGCGGCCAACTCTGAGAGCGCCATTTTGGGATTCCTGATCGGCGGATTGGGTAGGACTCATTTAAAACTTTGTCTCCCACTTTTCTCCCTGAGCTGTACATTTCCTCATTTCCCCTTCCCTTGTAAATAAACCTTTTATTAACCTTTCACGTGTGCCTGCAGTAGAGCATTGATAAGTCCTTTTAAGCGTTGAGGGTGAGGACCCACAGTCAGGCACCCCGTTTTGTATCGGGGTTGCTCTACAACAACATCAGTACATCTCCAGAATGTTACTGACCAAGTACATGGCAATTCTGAAATTGTATTTTTTAATCTTTGTTTTTTAAAAGATTTATTTATGTATGTATATAAGAATTGGGGTATAGAACAGAGGTGTGGGAGGTGAGATGATTCAGCAGAGACAGAGTCGGAACCAGAACAGGCAGACTGGCTGAAATACACTGCTGAGGGTAGCAACGGGCGAGGCAGGAGAGGTCCGCTGCACCATGTGGGTAGCTCCCTGTCCAGCCGGGGGTTCAAACTCGTGCTGCAGAGGCTGTGGATAGCTTCATAGTGCTGTGCTTAACCCCTTGTGCCACCAGAGAGGCCCTATCTTTCTTTTTTTTTTAAAGATTTATTTATGCATACAAGAACTCGGATACAGGCCAGAGGTGTGGGGATTGAGAGGATTCAGCAGAGACAGACTGGGAACCAGAACAGTCAGACCTACTGAAATACACTGCTGAGGGGAGCAGGGAGTGAGTCAGGAGAGGTCTGCTGCACCATATGGGTAGCTCCCTGGCCAGGGATCGAACTTGTGCTGCAGTGGCTATGGACAGCTTCATAGGTTGTGTGTGTCTTAACCCCTTGCTCCACCAGGCAGGCCCCCCTTTTATCTTGAAGCTCATGAATATTTCCAGTTGGATGAAAGTCCATTTCCAGTTTCTCTCCACCCAAAATAAGTCCAACTAAAACAAATAGCTAAGTGTGTTCATGGCAGCAGATCAAACCTACTGGGAGAAAGCAGTGGGCCTGGGTTGCTGGCACACACAGCACACCACCGCCTGGGAGTGCTCGGGTTCCATCCTTTCCCATAAGGAACAATCCTCCCACCTGAGCCGCTGCACAGTGTCAGGGAAGAGGAGCAGAAAGAAATCAGGAGTGAAAGTTTCTGGCTCTGGTGTCCATGACACAATCTCAGTTCTGCGTATGAAGAACAGAATGTGGAAGAACTGAAAGAGGGGAAGTGGATCTCCTCCCCATCCTTCCTGAGGAAAGGGTGGATTAGTTCACGAGAAGGTCAATCAGAGGGCTTGGCCTCAGGCTTACAAGAATTTTTTTTAATTCCCTTTACTCTAAAAGAATGGAAGTTGAGGGTATTACCCACAATTGGGGTTTTTATCAGAAATAACCTTTCTGTTGGAGAAGCCCTCTGTACAACAGGCGTCATCCTGTCTTTATGTTGGGAGCCAGATGACATGAAGAGCCCCACGTCAGGCGCCATATGTTGTCGTTTTTGGAGTCAGTGGATTTAGAGTGGGGTCCTTGGGTTCACTCTGGGAAAGGTGTCACCTCAGCTCCCCTTTCAGCAGCAACGGCAAATTTCCCAGGCAAGTTTCCCCACGAGACAGATGTTAGTTATATTTAAAGGGCAGGTTTATTAGGGCACGGGACAGAGGAGCAAAAGACACTTGCATAGACACAAGCAGACAGGAAGAGCTACCCCAAAAGGGACAGGTTTGCTGAGAGGTCTGCATGGTTGCAGGTGGGCAGCCTTGAGGAGAGCTGCCTCTGCTAAGGGAGATGAGTGAAAAGAAGTCCTGGTCTGCTGCAGGTCACAGGCAGGCAGGGAGGCTGCTGCCCTAGGGAAGGAGAGGGCTGGTGAAAAGAAGCACCTGCATAGTCACAGGCGGGCAGAGGGAGTGCTACCCAGAGCCAGGGCAGAGAGTGGACTCATATAGTTCTCTTCTGTTTGGGAGGGGCCACTCCTTGTGAGCCTGTGCTTAGTTGCTGATTTTGGATAACTATGCAGAATCTGAAAGGGACAGGATAGTCCACAATGGGCTTAATCTCCATATCTTTACCTTTGGGGTCTGTTGGGCCTCATCTCCATATCTTTACCCTTGGCCCTGTGCTCTAGACACTCCCTACAGCTGTCTGATACCTGCTTGGGTCTTATGCTTTGTCATCTAGGCATCAGCAGCCTAAGGATTTGGTTTCCATAGCTGGCTGGGTCCATGGTTATCTAATCCCTTCTACCCCCACCTCCTTGTGTGAGCCAGGTTTCTGGTCTTCTGTGGCCTCCATTTCAATTTTTTTTTCTATTCCCTGTCCTCTCACCTTGAAAGCCCAGGCCTCTATCCCATTCTTTAGTTCAAGATCAAATACCCTGTTTTGCCCCACTGACTTAAGAATCTACATGCTGGTAGAGTCCCCCTGTGTATGTAATTAAATGTGTTCTTATCCCCTACTAGTTTGTCTGATAATAATTTGGTAGCTTGTCTAGCCCAAGAAGAACCCAGAGGGGAAGGGCAACTTTCCCTTCTGCTCCCACACTGACATTTTATGAGATTCCCCACAACGTTTTCAATTATGCACCAGACCATGGTCAACTGATGAAAAATATATGAGACTTGAATAGGACCCAGAGACAAATTTGGGATCTTTACTCATTTATCCCAACTAGAACTACTCAAGTAAATTGTGCAGGAGAGGGAGTTCACCAGTCCTTGCAGAGCACAGAGTGAAAAGACAGAGAACAGAGAAGGGTCCGAGAAAGAATAGAGCCAGCAGGGAAACAGGAGCAAAACCAGGCGTGTAAGAGTAAACCTGTGTCCTCTGGAAGGTTGCAAGTTCAAAGGGATCAAAGTTTAATCTGAAAACACAATCCCTTCCCCCAGCTCTCACAGCCCCCACAGTCCGCAGCCCATAGTTCAAGGCATTTCTTGGAAATGAGGCCTCTCTCCTTCCACCTCCCCTCACCCTTAACCCTCCCCCCCAGGGCCTGTCTTCTGCCCCCTGAATACCTCTTCACCCTACACCTGGCCCACCCCCACCCCCTGCAGTCCAATCTCCTAGCTGGGGAACCTCAGAACAGTGAACAGAACTGAAAGGTGGATGCAGGGCCCAGAAATGAGGAAGCCCACGTAGAAAAAAACAAGATGGCCCGGACACCAGGACCACCGATACCATCAAACCCGTACTGAAGCCGTAAACAGGAGAAAAACAACACGGCTCCATGAAAAACAACTTTGTTCCGCCTAAACCTGCTTCGCCAGCTGCCTACCCAGTTTTCCTGCCTAACCTCTCCTCACCCTATAAAAGGGACCTCTCTCCCCACAAGGGCGTGGCTTCACGGACCCCCACCTTGGGGGTGGGGCCTCCCAGGAATCCCACTTGAGTGAGCCCCAACTGTAACAGGGTGGTCCCCAGAAAATGGGGAGGTTCCAGGCTCGCTGCCCCACCCAAGGGAGGGTAGAGCTAATCAGGGAGAAAAAAAAGCTACAGAGAAGACTGAGAAAGAAAGCAAAATGAAGTCAGGAACCACCCTGTTACAATCCCCACTTTTAATTTTTATTCCACCATATCTATGGTGGCACAGATCTCAGGGTAGAGTCTTAGGAGACAGTCTTTTTTCAGGGTTACAATGTGTGTAAGAGCAGCAACAATTAGTCAGCAGCATTGTCCATGAATGTCCAGTAGGGCAGTTTTCCATTACTGGAGAATAGCCCATTATCCAAGCCAAAAGAAAAAAAATCTGAAGCATTAGCTAAAACAAGACAGCAAATATATCAAAATCACAGGGAAAAAAAATCTTAAAATGGTTCAACTTCTGTAAAACACAAATTTTCTCAACCTTGATCCCAAACTTTTTAACAGCATAGCAAAAATTTGCAAACTAGATCTACTTTTAAAGCATTTTACCTATTTTTGCATAAAATCACAGGGCAGAATAACTAAACAGCAATGTTAGCTGGCTTGTTGGAATACTCCATATAGGATGAGAGCGAACTGTTGGCAGCCGGTCTATGTAGGCGTCAGGAACAAAGGTCTCATCAGACTCCACCTGGGCTTTCCTCTTCTCGAGGGTACCAGGACTTTTTCGTTGGCCGGGAAGACATATAAAGAAACTGCACTTGCCCTTTGGTTGTGAACTGGGTGACACAAATGTGGGTGAGACCCGTGGGGAGGTGACAATGACAACTTTTATCTTAATTTTAATTTTGCTCTTTCCCTTCCGGGCTTGTCTGGTTGTTTCTGACCTTTTTCTGTGGGTCCCCACGGGAAGATACTTTAGACTTGGGGCAGGCTTTGGGGCCTTGCTCTGGGCCAATCCCATTTAAATGGAGTTTTACCCATGAGGGGACAGGTAACATTGGGTGCTTAATTTAGAAACTAGATTCTTTGCCTTTTCTGTATTGTTTCCTAGTTGTATTAAAGTTCCTTCCCATTAAAGTCTCATATGTTTTGTTACTGCGGCAAATGGCAGAACCTATTTGGAGCAGGCAGGTTTGGGGGGTCTGGAGTGCCCCTCTCCCTGCCCTGTAACACATCTACTTCCTCCATCTGGATCTGAGTCTCAGCTGTCTCCTGCTAGTCCTGACTCTCCAGAGCTGCTGGTTCTTACACCGCAGGTGGTAAAACGTGTTGTAAGGAGCAGATAGAGAGGCTCTCTAGCTCCCCTTAAGAAAGACTCGGGGACCAGCATGATAGAATCCAAACGGGTCTCTCCGAAGTGGACAGAGGTTATTCAC